GGACTCAAAGCTAGGACACCTGCCTTGAGTCCTGCCTCACTCATCTAGACCATGACCTCAAAACAAGTGGTTTAACATCTTTTGGCCTCACTTTGCCTCAGTTTCCATCTCTGTGAAATGAGGCTGCCCCTCCCTGCCTGTCTACCTTCCCAGAGAATGCTGTGGGACAGGGAAGCCCCATATAGACATGGGGACAGGGGGCTTTTCTCTGGAGGTAAGAGAGCTTCTCTGGGCTTCTCTCTCACAGCTGCACTCTCTCTGCCTTCCCAAATCCAGGAACAAAGGAGCTGTGTAAAATAAATGGTGAAATCAGTGGTGCCCCGGAGCACTATTTGGATTGGTTACTGAAAACTTCTTCTCATAGAACAAGTCAGGTTACTCTATCACCGTCTCATCTTCCTTCATGAAAAAAAGACATCTATAGGAAATGGGTTCTGTTCTTATGGTGAGGTTAGTGGGGGACTCATGCTCAGAGAAGGAAAGAAAGGCTCACTCTGCCACCCATTACTCTATCTCTGGGGTCCTCAGTGATAAGCCTGGAGGCCTTCCTGTCTGGCAACTCAGTTGCAACTTGAGTATCCTGGCCTTCAGCTGCCTCTGGGACTTATAGGTTTGTTCATTCATGCAGTCAACCTCTATGAGCTCCTTCTCTCGTCAGTCTGACTGGGATCTGGGCACATGAATGAATCAAGTACCCACCTTGGAACTTAAGAGATGCTACCTGAGGAGGATGGCCAAGGAAGCAGATACTGGCTTCAATGGATTGGTGCTGAGAGAGTGTGCAGAGTGCAGTGTGCCGGCAGAGGCTGGGGAGGGGTAGCAAGGGAGCAGGTTGGAGCTGAGATTTGGCCAAATGTTGAGGCTCCCTGCCAGCCCCACCTAGACTGTGGGACAGTTGGGCTGGGTATGAAGGTAGTGGCAGTGGTGGCATCTGATTGCAGCATTGGCATCCACACCAGCCACCATTGAGGCAGAAGAGATGCTGACAGCTGAGTGGTGAGGGCTGGACCTGGGGATGCCCAGCTGAAGCCTTGCTTCCCATCTGCCAAGCAACTGTACCAGGGCTATTGCAAGGTGGTGAGCATCTAGGTGGTGTCTTCAGGAGGGTGGGCACTGGATTCAAGCAGTCAAAGAGATCATAGAAGTCATCCTCCCCATCACCATTTTATATATGAGGAAACCAAAGCCCAGAGAGGTGAAGCAACTTGACCAAGAGGACACAGGAGTCAGTGATGCAACTGGGACCAGAACCCCCAGGCCTGCCACCACTTAATTTACTGCACAAGATGCCTGCCCCTCATCTGCCTCTCTGGAGGAAAATAAGCCATGCATTTTCTCCTGTCCCCTCCCAGCCTTCCCCCACTTTCTTTTGGGGAGAAGAGAGAAGAAACTTGGGGAGACCAGCATAGGAACAGAATGCTGGCTTAAAAGTTAGACTTGAATTGAATCCAACTTTGCCACCCTCTGGTCACCCTTGGCTATATCACTTCCTCAAGTCTTTCTCACCATCAAAATGGCAATGATGATGCCAAACTCACAGGGCTGGTGAGAAACCAGAGTTCCTGAGGAAGTACACTGGAGGCTCTGAAGCTGCCTGTCACCCAGCCCTGCAGAGAGAGCCGAGGTGGAGGATGGGGGCCTGAGGAATAGCCAGAGCAGAGATCTGCTCTTCCTTTTGCTCGGCAAACGTTGCTGAGTGTTGACTCTGGGCCAGACTCTGAGAGGCCACTGGCTGGATCAGACTCAGGCCCTTGGGCAGCTCATAATGTGATGAGAGTGGGCTTGTAATCAGCAGTTGGTACAAGGTGAGGGGCTGTGGGAGCCTAAAAGGAAGACTGCCTTCTTCTCTTATTTCTCTCTTTTACTGGCCTCTCCCACCTTCATCTGCTGACAGGTTCTCTCTAAGATGGGTGGGGGCTGGTGAGATGGCTCCAGACAGTTCCACGCTTGCGTGGGCCTTAGAGTCAGTAATCTCAGAGAAGGAAAGCCCACCTCTCTGAAGGCTTACCTATTTGGGTTTTGAAGGACAAGCTGCTTTATCTCATTGTCAGGGGGTCATCAGGTGGACAAGGCAGGCAGCAGCTTTCTAGGCAAGGGAGCAATGACTGGATACTCCTTAGATCCACAGGGGCTTCCACTGGGCCTATGGTTCAGCATCATGGACAGGCCAGCTCCTGGGGCTGGGCTCTGTGGTCAACCAGGTCGGGATGGTCTGGCCAAGAGGCAGCCGAGTGGTCTCGGGCCTGAGGGACAGAGGGTGGCCTCCCGGCCTCCCCGCTCCCCAGGCAGCCCCACGCTGTGCCACCCAAGGAACATCAGCCCGTCCTCAGTGGACTTTGCATTTCCTACTTGGTTGCAGTGTGGGCTGCGGGCAGTAGTTGGGATGGGGCAGGGAGGATAGATTGAGGAGGCTGGAACAGCCTGGCTCTGGGGCTATGGGAACCTTTCAGGCCTCTTTTTTGTGTGGATAATCCACTGAACAAAATGGTTTGCATTTTCTGCACCCTGACTTTATCTAATTGCAAGAGACCTGCAATAGCAGGTGGATTTGGATTTGGAAACAAGGAAGAATTTCTCAGTTGTTTCAGTGGGGGATATGTAACCAACATGGACTTACTGTGTGCACCCCACCCCAAAGCAGGAGAGCTCTGTGTTGTGAGTGCAGCCAGTTGGCTGGCCCTGACCCAACAGCAGAGGCTAGACAGTGAGTCCTTTCCTCAAGCACTCGTCACGGTCCTGTTCACAGTAGGAAGTGGTCAAATGAGATTGTCTGATGCCCTTTTTTCCATCCCCCTTTTTTTCTAGCCCAGTGGAAAGTGGAGGCCCCCAGCTCCTCCTTGCACACTCCCTACCCCAAACTTACCCTACCTGAGACTTTGGACTGAGCAGATCTCAGTTCAGTAAATCCACGCTGGGGCCCTGCATTTCTAAACAGCTCCCAGGGTGGACTCTGAGTAGCGAGGTGCTGGAGAACATTCTATCCTCTCTGCAGCCAAGGCGCCTTGCCTGCTCCAGACCAAGAGCAAGGACTCACATGCCATGACCCCTGCTTGCCTTCATTCCACACAGCTTAGGAGGGAGAGCCAGCAGCTAGGGGTCCCTTGGACAGAGGATTCAGGCCTGTGCTTGGCCTCACTTCCTTCCCTCCTGTACTCACCCAGGACCCTCTCCTCACTTCTGAGCACAGACCAGCCTTGGACTTGCTGTGTCCCATGGGTAGAGCCCTTTGTATTTGGCATCTGCTGTGCCCTGAATCCAGGTTCCAACCCTGCCTGGGTAGCCCTGGGCAACTCAGTGCTCCTCTTCTCAGCCTCTCCAGAGGTCCAGATGGGCTGTACCAGAGGACCCCAGAGGGCTCTCAGGCTCCAGGATGGTGTGCTGAGAAAGGGTGGAGGTGGAAAGGGCTGTGATGGTGGGTCTATATGTTGAGGGCAGAGGAAGAGTCACGTGCCAGACCTCTGGAGTTCCTGTGTGGCCCAGCCTCTTCATTTGCTTTGGTAAGTTCACACACCGCCACCTCCACCCTGGGTATGGCTGCTCCTGAGTACCCAGTATGTGCCATGTCTTGGATATAGCAGTACACCCTTGAGGTCTTGCCTACATAGTGAGTGGAACCAGGGTTTGCACTGGGATCTGACTCTTCTGCCATACCCCTGGCTTCCCCCTCCCTCTGCTCCATGAGACCAGGGGAGGGAAACAGGACTGAGGAGTCTGCCTTGAGTCCTGCTGGTTCTCTGGGCCTCCTAAAAGTCAGAGTGATTGTTAACTTTCAGCAGATGAGTGCCATGTCCCTTTCTAAACCCCACTGTTACTTTGTTGCTCTGCAGATTTTAAAGAAATACAAAGGCTTGCGTGTAAACCCCTAAACCCTTCTCCCTCCCACTTCTGCTGTAGGCCAGGGTCAAAGGTCATGAGACCCTCCAGGACAAGATTGTGGCTCAGTCAGGGGCCTTGCAGAGTGGGTCGTGTGAAGGAATTTTACCAGCACAGTCAGTGAAGATGTGTTGAGTGAAGAGCATGCAGTTGGGACTCAGCACATGTGGGGTTTGAAGGGGCGCAGTCCTCTGGCCCAGCTTCCAGAAGGAGAGAGGGTGTGTCAGGAACCTCGCCCATACTCCTCCAGAGCGCTGCCTCTCCTGTAGTCACCAGGCTTTCTCGTCCCTCTGTCCATTAGCCACTGGAATCCAGGGCATCACCCTGGGGGCACAGCCACAGAACCAATTAACTGGGTACATCTTGTCTGAACTTACAGGCTTGGCACTTGTTTGGTAGCAAACATAATTGCAGCTCTTGGTGTCCCAGGCTGCCCAAAACTCAGTGGCTGCTGGGTCCTCTAGGGAAGCAGAGGTTCCTGCCCAGTTCATCTCTGAGCCCTGGGCTTTGGGCGCTGAGGTGAAGCTCAAAGTGTGAATTCCTCTGAAGGTGGTATTGATGATGTTGGGGTAGGGCAAGAGGGCTCAGCTCCCAGAGGGTATTAGTCCTGGAGATAAAGGGGGTAGGGGTGGGTCAAGGATTGGGGGTGCTCAAAATACACTTGGAGGAAAAAAAACATTGCAAACTGGATGTTGGCCCTCTGTCCCTGGCCTCACAGACCCAGATAGCAAAGGTTAAATATTTGTACTAGATCCAGATAAAGGAAAACATAGGGGTTTGATCGGGGTAGAGGTGAGGAATGAGAATTGGAAACTATGGCAAGCCTCCCCCTCACCTCTTTGGATACCCTATTCAGTCTCCAAAATGACTGTTTGTGGCGGGGGGGACATCATTCCCACTGGGTATATATAGAAACTGGGGCAGAGGGAAGTGCAGCATGTAAGCAGCCCAGAATTACAAAACTGTGGTGTGACAGGGCCGGGATGTAAGCCCAGATCGGTCTGATTCTTTGGCCCGTGCCCCTCTCATGACTAGGAAGGTGTCTGTGGGGAGGTGGGCTGGTGTGGGGTACTCTGCAGCTGCGGGGAAGGGCGGACAGGCTGACATCTGTCTTATGTCTGTCACAGGCACTGGCTCCACCATCCTCTCCGCCCTCCAGGACCTGTTTTCCGTCACTTGGATCAATAGGTCCAAGGTAGAGAAGCAACTTCAAGTCATCTCAGTGCTACAATGGGTCCTGTCTTTCCTCGTGCTGGGTAAGCTGGGGCTCAGAGGGTGAGGGCAGGCGGGGATGTTAGAGAGCTGAGGGGTCCTTTTTGGTCCCCTATCAAGTGCTGTACCCCAGGCAGGCTTGGGGACTCAGTGAGATTTAGTGGGAGGTGGTGGTATGGTTCCCATTTCACAGATAGAAAGCCGAAGCCTCAGAGAAGGTGAGTAACTTGTCCAAAGTCACACAGATTTGAGTTCAGGTCTACAGGCCCCCCCCGCCTCCCCCGCCACAAAGCATATGCTGTTCCCACATGCCACCCTGCCTCCCAACAAACTTTTTCCTTTAGGTATGTTGCATTGTCTTAGGTTGGTCTGGTCCTGGGATTAATCCCAACTCGACTACACATAAGCTCTGTGACTTTACACAGGTTCCTTGAACCCCTTAAAAATCAGTTTACTCACTTTGGATATGAGGAAAAGGCTGCCACACAAGCCACACAGGGCCTGGGCCGGTGGGGGGTGGTCCCCAACTTACGGGAGCTGCTACTGGGACATATCCTCCAAGCTCCCCCCACCCCAGCCTCACCCACCCTCTGTTGAACACTGCCCCAGCTGCTTCCGCAGCCCGCTCAGAGCCTCTCCTTTCCTCTCTTGACACTGCCCACGTTAGTGCTTGAGTTGCTTCTTCTGCAGGTCCGGGTTGGTGCCCCTGTCCCCTGAGTTGCCGTCCAGACCAGGGTCAGGGCACCATGGGTTGTCCAGGAGGAGGAAGGGCCCCTATCTGAAACAGGCCCTGCTCCCCCAGCAGTCTCGCCTCTTCCCCAGGGTCAGGTGTCCCCAGTGTAATAAGTGGCTTCCCCAACATGTCAGGGCAGACACACCTGCTGCTGAGCCTCACAGAGTACATTCCAGTGCCTGAATGAGTCCCTCTGGATGGCCCACTCTTCGGGGTTGTTCAGGTCGATGGGGATTATCAGGAATTATCATGTCAGTGCTGAGCCATCCTCCCAGGAGGCTTGGGGGCCTCTGAGACCACGTTTCCAGGGCAGCAGCTGCCCCTCCCTCCCTTGGCAGGGCAGAGGGATGGAATGGGGGTGCTAGTTATTGAGCCCCTTCAGTAGATGTGAGCTCAGTCCTTGGGTCAGGAAGATCCCTTGGAGAAGGAAATAGCAACCCACTCCAATATTCTTTCCTGAAAAATCCCAAGGACAGAGGAGACTCTCGGGCTACAGTCCAAGGGGTTGCAAAGAGTCATACATGACTGAGCATGTGCACATGCGTGCATGTGTGCACACACACACAGTGGATCAGTCACTTTCCTCGACTTTCCACTTCATAGGTGAGAAAATGGAGACTCATAGAGGCTCAATGACACTCAGAGATGGTGAAGCTCATTAAGTGGCAGAGTTAAAAATTAAACAGAACAACCCACTCCAGTATTCTTGCCTGGAGAATCCCATGGACGGAGGAGCCTGGTGGGCTACAGTCCACGGGGTCGCAAAGAGTCGGATATGACTGTGCGACTTCACTTTCACTTTCAACCCTCAGCTGAGAAGACTTCCAGCTCTTGTGTTTGCTATTGATTGTTTTCTTGAGTTCTCAAAGACCTGTGACCATATTTTTTTTAAGTTGCCTGTTTTCTAATTGCATCACTTTACACACTGTTGTCTAATCATATGTGGTATTTAGAATGCCTTCTTAATTATTTTGAGCAGCCATTGCCTGTATTTTCTTAGCACCTCCTTGGTTTTCTTATGTGAACTCATCCGACAGGGAAATGCAGCTTTTTTGTTTGCCCTCTCTGCATACTGGACCATCTGAGTCAGTGTTCTAACTAATCCCTGATGGTCTCTGAGCTACTGTTCTACCAGACTCAGTAGTTACGTGCTTCAGGAATTTTTCGGTAGAATTGGTCCTATTAGGAGACTCTTGGTGTCACCTTTGTTATCTTAAAAGCTGGTCCCTTCGCTGAGGCTCTTAATTTTTTGAAAACTTGATTCTATTTCAGCTGAAAATTGGCAAGGCTATTTAAAAAATTGATGGAAGCCATTTAAGAAATTGAAAAGTAATCGCAAACAACATTGGGTAGTTGTGATTTTCAGTTCTGTATCAGTTGAATTCTTGTGCTCTTTTCCCTGTGTACGTGGTGGTTCTATTTTTCTCCAATAAAACTTTTTATTAAAAAAAAAAAAAACAGAAGCCTGGAGTGCTCACCAGGGAGCTCGAAATCAGCATGCCTAGTCTGAAATGGCTAGTCTTCACCTTAAGGCCCAAGAGTGGGCTTTGGGGCTATGAGCCCCTAAAACTAGGTATAAAATTACATGTGAGAGTATATTCACATTTTTCTGGATGAAGGGCAGTTGCTGTCCTCAGATTTTTACAGAGGCATATGGACCACTATCTCCTGGAGTTTGCTCAAATTCATGTCCATTGAGCCGCTGATGCTATCTCATCCTCTGCTGCCCTCTTCTCTTTTTGCCTTCAGTCTTTCCCAGCATCAGGTCTTTCCCAGTGAGTTAGCTCTTTGGATAAGGTGGCCGAAAGTATTGGAGCTTCAGCATCAGTCTTTCCAATGACTATTCAGAGCTGATTTCCTTTAGGATTGACTGGTTTGACCTCCTTGCATTCCAAGGGACCCACAAGAGAGTCTTCTCCAGCACCACAATTCAGAAGCATCAGTTCTTCGACATTCAGCCTTTTTTATGGTCCAAGGTTAGATAGGTTAGATAGCATCACTGATTCAATGGACATGAATTTGAGCAAACTCCAAGAGATAGTGGAGGACAGAGGAAACTGATGTGCTACAGTCCACAGGGTCACAAGAGGCAGACCCAACTTAGCGACTGAACAACAGTAACAATGGGCCTTAACAAGATAAAGGAACAGTGGTCTAGGGAACAGAGCAGATTAAACTGGCTCCCTCAGGGCTCAAACTTCCAATTTAGCCTGCCTGGGCAATTTTTAGAATCCTGGAGCAGAGAGTACCCCTCCGTTCTCAGATAAGAATCAGGCACCCAGCGAGGGCAGAGCCTTGCCCAGAATCACATAAGAAGAAAGTGACAGGACCAGAGCAAGACCCCATGGACTCCAGCCTCTAGGCCCCCGCCCAGTCTGCTGTACCAGCTCCCTTCACCATCATCTGCACCCAGAAGCCACCACTGTCCTACTGTCTTAGTGGGTCAGAGCTTGACTGATGAGATGCGGAGCAGCTTGTAGAACCCCAGACTCCTGTAGCATGTGGCAGGGGCTGCCTCGAGCTGTAGGTTAATAATTGATCAAGTCTAACCACAGCCCAGAAACCAGCCCAGCATCTTCCCAAAACCCTTGTGTAGGTGGGAGCCAAGCCTGCATGGACAGGCAGGTCTGCCAACCTACTGCTAATTATTGCCCTGAGCAGCCCCAGCCACTCCCTCCCACTGCCACCCACATCTGCTGGCAGAGGCTCACCTGGCATTGCAAAGGATGCTGTGGCCCCATCAGCCTCCCTCTGGAACAGTGGAGTGACTCTGAGCCGCCATTCCTGTGCCACGGGTCCCCCTGGTATTCTGGTTAAGGCTCTAAACCTTATTCATTCCGAGTTTTTAAATGCATAATACAAAACACATTGGATTTCAAAGGAAGCCAATGGTATTAAAATATAAATACACAAGTATTAAATCAGATTCCACATATAGTGACACATTATTTTTTGTTACTGTGTTAAATAAAAAGATCTAGCAGCAGGCATAAAGATTACTATAATTCTTTAGTGATGAGAATAAATTGTTTTTCAAGATATCCCTAATTAGCATACATGTGATATGGAAACACCTTTGTTTTCTATGAGTGTCACTGCCAACAGGGTCTGCAGTCTGGTACATTCATAAATGAAGGAAACGTTGCATTTCTATAAGAGGTGAAGGAACATTAAGATTTTTTTCCCGCCATCCAAGTCCATGGATCTCCAAATTGGACACTTACCTGTGTATTAAGTCATCTTCCTACATTATCTCATGTAATCTTCCCAACACCCTGTTGGAAATGGAGATTCAAGGATGGGCCATGGCCAGTGAGCCAGCAGGGCCCCAGTTTCATGGAAGAGCGTGTCCATGCTCTTCATGGGCCTGACTGCCACCTCCCTGCGTTGGGCAGCCATAGGCTGCCTGCTCACAGGCTTTGAGGAGCAGTTTGAATCACAAGCTTGACTATGTTCTGTGGGGAGGGGTGATTGTAAAGGTGGGTCCTGAACCTTCTGCATGTGGAGCCAAAAATTGTTTACATCTCCTGGACCTGAGGGGACTGGGTGGGGGGGGGGGTTCCTGCTGCAGTCCCTTGCCCTACAAGAATGGACCAGGGAGCCCTGTATTCAGAGGACTGGGCTTAGTCTCTGAGAAAGGCAACTTGTATGATGGGTTTAACTCATTTTTGCTCAATAAACCTTTCCCGTGTTGGTTGCTGTGGCTGGAGAAGTTCATCTGACCTGATTCCAGCTCCCAGGGAGCCCAGGGACTGAAGAGCCTTCTGATGGAAGGAGTCTGCTGGGGGAGGCAGATACTGATGAGACGGCTGTGGACACACAGGGCTTAGAGGGAGCAGGGTCCTCCAGCTGAGAAAGTCCAGAAATAGAATGCAGTCTCCGGACTCTCCATCTGTTCTCTTTTCCTCCTCCCAGGCTGCCTCAGCACCAGAGTAAGGACAGTGGACAGGGACTTCCAGCTTCCCAGAGAGCCCAGACATTTAGGCAGTGCAGCCCAGGGCTCCACCCACTCTGGTCCTGGTGCCCCTCAGCAGAGTTAGGGCTTTGACAGCAGCTAGGTTTCCAGGCTGCTCAGATCCTAACCTGAATCTCGCAACCCTGCCCAGGCCCACCTGGAGCCTCTATCTAGCCTCTGAAGGCACTTGGATACCTGTGGAGTCTCGGGGGCTTGTGACCCTTTTTCTAGGCCTAAGAAAGGGGACCAGGGGCAAACCACTCAACAAGGTGAGTGACTGTGTAAGTGGCCCTAACTTAAACATCGCCATTCACCAAGCTGCCTCAAGTACTTTGCAGCTGGCCTTTAACAGGGTTTTGTTGGCTCCAGATACTTCCCTAGAGACTCATCTTCCCCATCTATGACGTCACACTCCTAAGGTGGTCTGAAAACCTGGACACCTGGCCACTCTATGTTCACTGCCGGTCCCAAGATAGTTGTACCACTTTTAGCTCCCTTGGCAAGAGGCTAGCTCAGGAGCTTAGAACAGGACTGGGTTGCGGATGACAAGGGATCACCATTTTCCTGCCCTTAGGCTCATGGAGTATGTGTCTGGCCCTCCCCTCTCCCTGAGAAACCAGAGGGGACTGAGCATGGTGGGAAGACGAGAGCATGGAATCCAAAACCTGGCGCCCATGACCAGTGCAGTGCCCAGCAGAGGGGGGCCTGCAACAGGGGTTGGCTCCCTTCCAGCAGTGGAGGGAATGTTGGCCAGAGACCATCCTTCTCCCAAGCATGAGTACCTGATGCCCCTGGCCCTGTGCTAAGTGACAGGGGGCAAAGATGTGCCCCACCCCCAGTGTAGAGAATTCAGAGGTGAGAGATCCGTGTAGGAGGATGGTATGAGGTTGGAGATGAGGTCTGAGCTTTGCTTTGATGCCTTGGTAAAATTGGAAAGATGGAAGCCCTGATGAGGGCTTTCTGTGCCAGGTTATTCAGTCTTATGGCCAGCAGGCCCAGAATAAAGGGACCACTGGAAGCTGGCCCCAGCAGTCTTCCAGTGTGCTGCTGGGGATTTCGAGAGAGGCTGATGGGCTCTGGGCTTTGGCCGGGGAGTGCCTGGTGCTCAGTTATGTGGAAAGGGGGCCAGCCCGCCTCCTGGGGCGGGAATCCCACTCTCTTGGGTCCCTCCAGTGGCAGTCTGGGCCTTCTAGTTTGGGGTAAATTCCTAAAGCCTGGTACAGATTTTGGACTTAATACTCAGACTTGAGTTTGAGTCCTGGCTCTGCCTCTGTCCTGGCAGGTGACCTTGGACTAGTTCCCTCCCCCTAGAGCCTCAGTGTTCTCATCTCTAAAATGGGGTAAAGGTCACCCTGCCTCACACTCAAGACAGTAATTCAGCCCAAGTCCTGAGATATAGAGACACTTGGCAGGTCCCTCCCCTCATCCACAGCTACTCTGGTGGGCACTCAGGTGGGGAGAACACGCAAGGAGGGGCAGAAAGGACAACTCTAAGGCTCTAAGTTAATGTCCATCACCTATGGTGCTGCTGTCCAGACAGCCTGGAGCCCACATGCCTCCTGATGCTAGGACAGCCCATCAGAATCTAGAAGATGAGGCTCGTGTCCCTGTGAGCCTGCTCCTCTCAGGAACATCTTCACCCCCCTCCCCACCCCGCCCTCCCCATGGCCCTCTGCCCAGGGCCCCGGCTGTGCCTAGCTTAGGGCCACAGTAAACACTCAGTCACCAGTGACCCTGTGTCCAGAGGGTACTAAAGCCTGTGCCGGGAGCACAGGCCTGACCGGGGACCATCTGCCTTCCCCCAGGAGTGGCCTGTAGCGCCATCCTCATGTACACATTCTGCACCGATTGCTGGCTCATCGCGGTGCTCTACTTCACCTGGCTGGTGTTTGACTGGAACACACCCAAGAAAGGTAGGAGCACAGGTCACCCTGCCTGACTCCCTTGCCCTCGGGACACTCCCTCCTGCACAAGCTGAAGTTCCTTGTCATGGGTACTGCCCCTTCTCTAGTTAGCACCTACTATGTGAATAGTGTTGGGCTAAGCCTGGGCATGGTTCTGAAGACAGGGGAGTCTCTAAGGTCACCATCATGCTTCTCACTGGAGCTTACATCAGTCCTGGGTGTCCGTAACGTGAGGGAATGAACATGGAAAGGGGCTTGGGGGGGAGGATGCTGCCTAGGGTGCTGGTCACCTAGCTCAGGGGTTCACACTGGCTCTTCCTGAATGTCACCCTCCCCCACCTCCTACTCCTTCTCAACACTATGTTTTGTTCCATGGAAGGTGGCAGGAGGTCACAGTGGGTCCGAAACTGGGCTGTGTGGCGCTACTTTCGAGACTACTTTCCCATTCAGGTAAAAACTTGCAGGTGTTATCTTGGGAGGGTGGGAGTGGATGGGAAATCTGAAGTCAAGCCTTAACTTACCCATCCACAGCGACCATGTGTGCAGGGTTGAACTATGTGACATCTCCCACTATGAGCATCTGTCGATATTCCACCCCACTTTATGTAGGATTTGAGGCAATTTAGGATACATACATATAATTCTGTACCAGGTAAAAAGAAAAATCAAGACTTGGAGGAAAACATACTAGTAATTCATCCATAAGTGTCAACAGAGTTGCAGTGATTGAACTTCACGGTCACCTCTGAGCTTCCTGGCAGCCAAGGTAAAAAGGGAAGCATGCTAGTTATTGATCCTCATTTTCAGAAAGAAAGAAGCTTCTTTGTTCCTTGAGTAAACAAGACTTCTTCTAGCATTTGGATCTAAAAGCTGTTTCAGATACTGAGATCCTGGGTGATGTAAGGAGCAGAAATAATAGCAGATATTATGGCCATTGCTTGTCTGCTTTCAGTGAACATTAAAGTCATAACTTAAAATGGAAGTGACGGAATTCCCTGGTGGTCCAGTGGTTAGGATTCAGCACTTTCACTGTTGTGCCCCAGTTCATTCACCGGTCGGCGAACTAAGATCCTGCAAACTGCATGACAGAGCCAAAAAATAGAGAAAAGGAAGTGATTTATCAAGAGCAATACTAAGGTAGTCCAAGTTTATCTGGTCTCAACCAAGGTTAGGAATAGGTGTGAGGGGCTTTCTTTCCTTCTGAAGCTCTTACAGAAATTTCACCTCTCAGCCAGTCGTGGGTGGGTCACCAGGGGTCCTGGTCATGGGAATAAGGGGCCAGAAAATTTTGTGTGCAGTGAATGAAGAGTGAGAACCTCACTGCTGAAGTGCTTGGGAAAGGCTTCTGAAGGTGCTGCTCCTAGAACCCCATCCTGAAGAGAAGCAGCACTGAAGGGGCAGGGAAAATCCTGAGAGCACAGGCACCCGACCTTGAGAAAGAAGCCTGGGATGTGGAGGATGGGGAGAAGGTGGAGGGGGAGGGAGGACTTCTATTTCCTGGGACTTGTCAGGGCCAGCACCTTTCCCCAAGGAGTCTCCTTTAACCCTCGCAGCACCCTGTGTGGTGGGTATTCATTTTATACCATTTTTGCAGAAGAGGAAACTGAAGGTCAGAGAGCTGCACAGCTGAATGAGGCTAACAGGGAACTGAGCCAAGACTCCAGCTGTTGTCTTGCTTCAAGTCTGGACACTTCCCACCACAGCACACTACCCCCCTATGCAGCAGAGTTCTGGGAGATAGGCTTGGACAAATCCTCAAGCTTTCCTCAGGCTTGGAGGACAGAGGCAGGAGAAGCAGCCCAGTCTGACCCTGGGTGAGGCTGGGGTGCCGTCTCCCCTCAGGCAGCCAGTTTAGACCAAGCTGACCTCTGGGTTTCCTTCCTCCTGTGCCTCTGCCTGCCCCGCGTCTCCCACACTAGTCTTCTGAGCACCTGTCTCCTCTGGGGCCAGACTCAAGGTCCTGACGAGATAAAAAGTGGCTTGGTCTGACTTTCAGTGCCATTCTGTCGGGCGCCCTGCTGGTGGTCTGCAAGCCAGGTTGGTAGGGCCAGGTGCATGTGGGTGATGCTGGTGGATGGTAAAGAACCCTGGCAGAATCCCGAAGGTTTTCCCTGCAGGGGAGAGACCTGTCTAGGCGGCTCACTTGGCACCCCAGCCCTGGCACACCCTCGGTGCTGAGGTAACCCAGCAGAAATCAGTGGGGTCTTAAGAGTGAAGAAAGCATGCGTGAATGTGGAAGTGTCCATGACACAGGGTGGTGTATGTTTGCTGTTGTGAGTCAGCGATTGAGACATCCTGGCCTGCTGCCTGGGGAAGGTGGCCGGGTTACCCTACATTTCCTGCTGCACTCAGTATAGTAGGGATGGCACCAGGCTGGCTCCCTCTGCCCATCGCAGCCTGAGCCCGGTTTCCCCAGGACCTTTGGAGTCAGGATTTCTACTCCTCCCTTTTCTTGACCCTGTCTTTCTGGCTGTTGTTGCTAAGAGGATGTTGCCTCATAGGACCCAACCCTCTCATTTTGGAGGTGAGAAAGCTGAGTCCCGAAGAGGAGCAAGGACTGGTCCAAGTTGCGCAGTGACTCCGTGCCAGGGCTCGTATTAGAATCCGGGCCCCATAGTCTTTCCCACTGAATTCCTACTGCCTCTTTCTCTGGGAGAGATGCAATCCAGGTTTGCCCCGCTGGATTGAGCCTCACTTCATGGGTCTCCCTCCCTCTGCTTTGCTGTTGGAGATCCGGGTTGAGGTCCTGCCCTGTCACTATTCACTGGCCACTCTATTAGGATACTCTATTCCCTGTGCACTGCTGGGCTCTGCTGGGCGTGGGGATGCAGAAGAGTGTGCCTGGCCGCTGCCCTTCTAGTGGATCCTGCTGGACTTTGTCACTTTCTGCGCATGGGACTATGAGCGCGCTTTCTCAAGCCCACCAAGCCTCATTTTCCTTGTCTGTAAAATGGAGCTGTTCACATGCTAGAAAAGTGGTGAATTACGGTTCGTTGTGAGGGATTATGGACTCTTTCTCTCTTCTGGGGCTCTTTCCTTGGGGGCCCCAGAGTAGCCTGCCCCCCAGGAAACCTCTTCAAGGCTGATAGCTCCCTCCATCCGGAACAGGATGACCTGATGACTGTTGGTCCAAGCTGGGACAGACAGGTACCCTTTCCCACTGATCTCTACCCTCCCTGAAGAACCAAAACAAAACCCATGTACCTTGTCCCACCTCTGTTCCAAGAAGTCAGCTGGGAGTTGGATCCACATGACCCAAGTGAGCTGGCCCTGGGAGGGTCCCTAGGTCCTGCCAGACCCAAAGCCAATCAGAGCCTGCGGCCTCATGCCTCATCCTGGGCTCTGCCCTTGCTTGGTAGTGGTCTTGGCAGAGTCCCTGACCCTTGGGACCTCAGGCTCCTCTTCTGTGCAGGAAGGTTTGGCCTTTGTGAACTGATGCCAGCACTGATGGAGTCATGTATGACCCTCCTGTTCCACACCCTTTTCCTGGCCTCTTGCCAATGGTTGGGGAATGATCTCTAACTGTGCCCACCTACCTATACCTCCCTATTCCCTTGTTGTTGAAGGTCTTTGCCACCAGAGCTGCTCAGCTGGCCCAGAGAGCATCTTTTCTCCCAGTAGAGGTGGGGCTTATGTGTTCACTGCAGCCACCAGGACCACCAGCTACCTGGAAGAGGAGTGGGCAGTGCCCGGGTCACGACCTCTCCCAGTGGTGATGGGCAGGATCTTTGGAGAAGAGACCAGGAAAGACTCTCTGAGCTTACAGTCACTTATCTGTCCATCTGCCTGATTTCACAGATGGACCTACTGAGGCCCAGAGAGGAGGAATTGTCCCAAGGTGCAAGGCTGGTATAGAAACCAAGGCAGTGTCTGCCTCAGGGCCCGTGTTCTCATATCTTCATTTCTCTGCCCCAGTGCCCCGCTCTGTGAGCTTAGGCGAGTCTCTGCTCCTCTCTGGTTCTGAGTTTCCTCCTCTATAAGGTGCCAGGCTGGGACAAAGCTATCTGACCACCTTGGCTGCCAGGGGGACAGGGTGTGAGGGGTGACTTGCTAGGAACGTGTTGTAGGCTTGTGTTGGCCAGCAGGCCTGGCCTGGCCAGCACCTTGGGCTGAGACTTTGCCATTAGAAACAGTCAGGGGACACAAGATCAGGTGCATCAACAGAGCCTTCATCATAAGTGCCCTTCCTCCTCCCTCTTGAGTGGACACTCTGTCCACCCAGGGGTAGGAGTGTGGCACGAAGTCACATCAAAGCCATATCAGATGTCTGCACTTTTCTCGGTGCTGCATCAGGGACAAAGAATCTGCCCTATGCTGCAGGACACCTCATTTAACCAGATAGAGGCTTGGGGTGCAGGGAGGAAATGATTTAAGGGACCAGCTAGGGTTCTGCCAAGTGACCCATGTGTATCTCAGGACCAGGGAAAGCACAGCTGGGTGGCCCAGTCTAGAGGTAGGGAAGAATCTGCCGGGAAGCAGCAACTCCTTTCTCTCGAGCTCAATCTCTACCTCATAATTGAAGGAATGGCCCAGATCAGGGCTCTTCCAGCCCACACTGTCCAGCAGGTTCCTGGGCCTGGCCCTCACCTCAGCTCAGGAGCAGGTTGCCATCCCAGTGCTGGCCGCCTCAGCTCTCTCCTTCATGCCTTCCTCCTCTGTGAGACTGGCTCAAGGTGCTTTTTCATTCTGGCTTTCCCAAAAGCTGAAGTGGTGGGCACAGCTGCTCTCAGGGGCAAAACCCCAGAACCACCACCCCATGGAGCTCATGTCAAGCTGCATCCCCACTAGCCGTGGATGCAGCTGCTGCTGCTCCTCTTTTATGTGGTGGGCAGCTGGAGATCACTTGGGGTTTTGAGCAGTTTTAATCTGCTCAACAAAGGCAAAGAAGGAAGAAAGAGTACAAATGTCCCGAGCATCCAGGCACACAGCACAGGGGGTCTGGCTCACGCTCACATGTCCTGGTAGTTACAGAGCTGGGAGGTGTGCCAGCTACCTTCACTCCCACCCCCTTCTGGCCTCCATCACCTGCAGATTCAGATTTCAGTTTCCTGGAGACCAGTCACCAGCACCCCGCCCCCTCAAACTGAGCACGAGGTCCTTCCCTCAGCCAGGCAGTTTCCAAATCCAGAGTCACAGAAACCCCGGCCCTTGCTCTTCTGCTGGTAGCCAGGGACTCTGCTTCCAGTCGGCCCCAGCCCTGGGCCGGGGGAACCCTGAAGCACTGCTGGTAGGAATGTCACCAGCACCATGTCTCTAGAGGCAGGGCAGCCCACCAGATCAAAGTGGTCATCCCCTCTGACCCGGGAGCTGTATTTCTAGAAGTTTGTCTTAAGAATGCAAACAGACATGAAGACAAAAATAAGGTATCTGTGGAAGCATTATTTCTGAGGGAAATTTTCGAAGATTTTCAAACCTTTTCATCAGTCTGGGTTTGATAACAATCCTATTCATGTAGCATAGCTGTGAGAAGACATGGTACTGAGGGATTCTGATAAGAAAAAAATAGCTTTGATATGCTTGGGAGGTAGTTCTATCAACCATATCAACCATATGACCTCAGTGTGGGGATTTTTAAAAAAGAACATGTATATCTGAGTAGAAAAAAACTGAAGACGTCAGAGTCGTTTTTCTGGAGGGGGAGGTATGACAGGTTCTTTTGATTTTCTTCTGACTTTCCTGTGTTTTTAAAATTCTCTGATTATTTATTATTTTTCTAGTTGGGAAAAAAGTGATGTTTTCTGAACAAAATGCCCATCCTCTCCATCCCTCTCAGCACCTTCCACCCCACTGGGTAGTGCTGGGTGGGTGTCTCTTGTGCTCAGGGATTAGGGAAACTTTGTACCACCCACCCCGCTGTCCAGGTCACCAGGCCCAGGGCAGGGGGTGGGCCCCGAGGAAGCCAATCACCCTCGAGACCATCCCAGGACAGCTTTGTTGATAGCACCGCAGGTCAGCTACCCAGCTGAACAGCTGACCTCCCCACCCCCACTGTGGCTGGCACCAGGGCTGTGACTTGTCCTTGTCCTTCCTGCATCAGAGCCTGACCTGAGTCTGGCTGCCTGGGAGGAAGTTTCTGTTCAGGCCAGATGCTCTGTCCCTTCTCTGGCCAAAGTTAGGGACTTGGACTTTACCCCGATGGGAGCTGGACTTCCCTCTTTATCTAAGAGTGACAGAGATTTCACTGGGCTTTTAGAGCAGTCACTCTGGCTGTGGTGAAGGGGCTGGGCCCAGAGGGAGGGAATGCAGGAGGCTGGCAGAGTGCAATTAAGAGGACCTGGTGTTTGGCTGGAGAAACAGGGGGAATGAGGAAGTGTCTTACTCCCTTCCAGGGACTCGAAGTCCAAATGGTGACTTTCAAGTCCCCAGCACTGAGGCCCCAGTGATGAGAGTCTGAGGTCTAGGGGGAGTCACTCCAGTCCTTCAGACCCAGGCTCCGAGGAGCAGGGCACACCCAGTGCTTCCCTTACCTCTGGGTGTCCCTGGTACCCCTTCCTGGCCAGTTTGCTCTGACCCAAGGTCTTCCCTGCAGCTGGTGAAGACACACAACTTACTGACCAGCAGGAACTACATCTTTGGGTACCATCCCCATGGCATCATGGGCCTGGGTGCCTTCTGCAACTTCAGCACAGAGGCCACAGGAGTGAGCAAGAAGTTCCCTGGCATAAGGCCCTACCTGGCCACGCTGGCCGGCAACTTCCGGATGCCACTGCTGCGGGAGTACCTGATGTCTGGAGGTGAGAATCTACCTCTGAGTGCCCCTGTCTGAGCCTCTCCATTGGCCAGGAAGCCAACCCACTGTGCTCTAGCACCTGGTCCTGAGAGACGTGGCCAGCCACAGCCTGGTGTGTCAGGGCTGAGCCAGAGAACTGTTCATATGATCTTCTGGATTCCACTAGCATAATGGTGTCCCTCGGAAACCTTCTCTGACCCCTTTTGGGCATTTCCAGCCCCTCTGCTGCCCTTTGCACAATCTAATCATTGTCCAGGACTCTCATGTTCTATCCACCTTGATTCCCACCAGCCTGACTTACTGGGGTTTCCTGGTACCAGCTCAGCAGAGTTAGGACCTCAGGGAATGTTTGCCAAATGAATGCATTCCCTAAACAACCCTGTGTCATCCCCATTTTACAGATAAGTAAGCTGAGGCTCAGAAAATAGAATGACTTAACATGGGGCTGTTCTAAGTGGCTGGGCTAGGCCTGGGAACCAAATCCAGGGCTCTGTCTATATTTGACCATGTGCAGAAGGTAGGAAGTCCATCCCTGACTGTGTGTCCCCCCTCCACTCCCCAGGCATCTGCCCAGTGAACCGGGACACCATAGACTACTTGCTTTCAAAGAATGGGAGCGGCAATGCCATCATCATCGTGGTGGGGGGTGCGGCTGAGTCCCTGAGCTCCATGCCCGGAAAGAATGCAGTCACCCTGCGCAATCGCAAGGGCTTTGTGAAACTGGCCCTGCGCCATGGGTGAGTGCATCTCAGAACATGTGTGTGCACATGCATGCCCACACCCCGCCACAGCTCTGCTCAGCCCAGGGCAGCAGCTCCTTGCCTCCTGGAGGCAGGACCCAGACTCTAGGAAGGCAGAGAAGGGAGTTAACCATCCATAGGGAAGGGGATGTTGGAGACCAGAGGTTCAGGCCAAGAGCTGCTGGGTGACAAAAATGCAGCCTGAGTCTCCTGGGCCCTGGCAGGTGGGGTGAGAGGCCTGCCAGGCCCAGAGGCAGGACTGTGCCCCATGCCAAAGCCTGTCACACAGCTAGGAGAGCAAAAGGCCAGGAAGGAGAATGGTGTGTGGCTGGAAATATCAAGGAAGGCTTCTTGGAGCGGTAACCCTGAGGACAGGCAGAGAGGAACAGGGCAGCTTGGGTTTCTGTGACCTTTTCTAGAAAACCAGGGGCACAGTCTGTGTAGCCACTGTTAAGCACATTTCATTAGACAGAGCACATTTACTTCTACTGCCCCATTGGATTGTACTGCAAAATCCTGCAGGAATGCCACCCCCATTTTCCATTTGAGAAAACTGAGTGAGGCTAGGGGGCCTGGTCAGGGCCACGTTGTAAAACCCTGACATGATCCCCACCCACTAACAGGGGCAGAGGGCCTGTTCTCCTTTGGCCCTGAGGGAGCATGTGGTTTGGGGTCCCCCAGGTGACTCTTGTACACACCCCTGAGGGAGGGCAGTTTGGCTGGTGTCTGGGGCCTCTGGGGCTGCCAGGAGGGACTGAAGCCAGTGATTGGGCTAAGACAGACTCTGGCCTCTCTCTTCCAGAGCTGACCTGGTTCCCACCTACTCCTTTGGGGAGAATGAGGTGTACAAGCAGGTGATCTTTGAGGAGGGCTCCTGGGGCCGATGGGTGCAGAAGAAGTTCCAGAAGTACATTGGCTTCGCCCCATGCATCTTCCATGGTCGAGGCCTCTTCTCCTCCGACACCTGGGGGCTGGTGCCCTACTCCAAGCCCATCACCACTGTCGGTAAGCTCCCCTAAACTCGAGTGCCACAGCTAGTTTAGTGGCAGAGTTAGGATTCAAATCCAGGCCCCTGGCTCTGATGTCCATACTGTAAACCATGAGGATGTGGACCTGTTTGGGTGCTGATAGCAATGATGGGTGTGGGTGGGAGATGGGTGATAGTTCCATTACCATGAGCTAAGCTGTCTGGATGAGAAAGCAGGACTCAGCAGCTCTGTGTTTGCAGAGCATGAGTCTATCAGGGAAGATCCCCTTACAGTAAAGACCAACAGGGGGTGTGAGAAGAACGTGCTCTGGAGGGGCCTAGTGGATCTCAGGCAGGAGTGGCTCTTACACTCTTGGCCGTATAGGAATTATCCTGAAAAAAAGAAGACAGAGTCTTTCAGTCAGAAACAACAGCCAAAATGAAGTTTTCACAGCAGAACTGCATAGATTTTTGAGGAACAGAAGGAAGTCAGTATGATTGGAGCAGAAGTCTATGAGAAGTGGAGCAAAAAACTGGCTGCACTTCGCCCCCAGCCATGTTGTTTTGCTTTTATATGAGACAATTTAGAGGATTCCAAAGAATTATCTATTGTAGGAGTGTGTGTGTGTCTGTTAATGGTTCACAATCTAGAACTCACACAAGAGCGCGGAGGCCATAAGCCATGGACTTCAGGGGCCAAAGCTCACATAAATACTTAGAGTTGTTATCAGGGCCAGAAGTTTTGCTTTGTACTTTTTCCAAAGAGATTAACTTCCTGCATTTTAAATCCCATGACCCAGACTCACCCTTGATTCTTGTTATACATCATACCAGGTCTGATGTCTGTGAGGCAGCAGGAACATTTCCATGCACGGGGTGGCTGGAGAAGGACGGGGTCTAGTGCCCCGGGTGAAGGAGTTTGCTCTTCACCTTAAGAATTGAAAATTGCTTGAGGGTTTGGGGGAGGGGAGACTCAGATTTGCATTTTAAAGTGATCCTTGGGACTCCTGAATAGAAAAGGAGTTATAAAAGGCCTGTTTGCACAGTCTTGTCCGACTCTACGACCCCGTGGACTGTAGCCGACCAGGCTCGTCTGTCTGTGGAATTTTCCAGGCAAGAATACTGGAGTAGGTTGCAATTTCCTTCTCCAGGGCATCTTCCCGACCCAGGGACCAAACCCAAGTCTCTTGCATCTCCTGCATTGACAGGGAGATTCTTTGCCAGCTGAACCACCAGGGAAGCCCTAGAAAAAGGAGTTGGAAGGGACAAAAATGGAATCCAAGCCATTGGCTTGGACAGAGGGAATGACAGCAGAGATGGAAGAAAAGTGCATGAACTTGGAAGAAATTTCAGGAATAGCATTGATAGGACTTCAGGATGAGCTGGGTATGGAGAGGAAGCAGGAGGATGAGAAAAATAAAATTATGCACGGATTTGGGAAAGTGGTCCCCTTCTCCTTCTCCTGCCCTTACCACACTTCTCATAGCATATCGCATTATTGCACAGAATCCTCAGCAAAGCCCTGTAAGGAAGGGTCCCCTTGTGATCAGTGAGGAAACTAAGGCTCAGAGAGGCAGTGACGTGCCCAGAGCAGGCAAAAGCAAAGCCATTACTGGATCCCACACCTCTCACATGAGCTCCCAACTGAGTACTGTGAGCAGTGAGTGCAGCTGGACTTGATTCCACCTGCTGCTTAGTGGCTAGGTGGCCTTGGGCAGGTCCCTTCCCATCACCCTGGGCCCCAGTCTTCTCACCTGTGAAAGGGACAACCTGAAATGGAGCACTCCCAGCACAATTCCTGACACGTGGCTGGCTTGTAGCACAAGGTCACCACCAAGAGCATCGTGGTGAATGCCCAGGGAGGGTGGGGCAAACAGCACTGACTTATCAGAGGCCTCTGCCCCCTCCCTGCAGTGGGTGAGCCCATTACCATCCCCAAGCTGGAGCACCCGACCCAGCAGGACATCGACCTGTACCACGCCATGTACATGGAAGCCCTGGTGAAGCTCTTCGACCAGCATAAGACCAAGTTCGGCCTCCCGGAGACCGAGGTCCTGGAGGTGAACTGAGCCTGTCCGCAGGGGCCACCTTCTGGGAGGAACCAGCTGCAAATGGTTTTCTACCAAGTTCTCAAGTGCTTTTTGTTCTGTAAATTTGGAAGCATCATGGGTGTCTGTGGGTTATTTAAAAGAAATTATAATAATTTTGTTAAACCATTACAATGTTAGGTCTTTTTTAAGGAGGAGAAAGGGAATATTTCAAGCTCTCTCACTTCCAGTTTGCCCTGTTCCAGGTGGGGGCTGCCACATCTGGGCCTTTATGGTTTCACCACCCCTCTTCTCTCCTTCCCCAAATTACAAAGAAAACTCATTCCTAGTTAACTGGGGAAGAAGGACAGTCATTAGTGACTCGGGCCAGTTAGATTATTTGCCCTTTGGCCCTGAGGGATGAGGGGCAGAAGCCTCCTCTAATACAAACATCTCTATGCCCAGCTACCCAATGCTTGACTGCAGGACTAAACCCTCTTGCCAAGAGAAGACTCAGGAAACGGGTTCCCATGTTGAAGAGCGCAAGGATAAGCACCTGGAATATTCAAGCCTGATTCTCCTTTCAGCCACCCCCTATGGCCCCAGTCTCTGAAATCTGAGCCTGGACTGGCCTCCAAAGAGAGGATCAGGGTGGTAATGTTCCTGTGCTGGAGCACGTAGCTGTCCAGATGAACCATCTCTTGGGTTATCAGGCCCCATCATGTTCTGGTTGGAGTGACTGGTTTTCCTCAGGGGGTTGGTGACATGGACCCAGTGCAGACCCTGCATTGGCCTAAATCACAAACTTCTCAGTGGCCTCGCTTTGTTTAAATCACATCGTCAGTAGTGGATGCGAGGAAGGGGTCCCCTTTCCTGTTTGCAGAGGGACCTAAGCAGCAGACTAGTACCAGAACAGAAGTTCCCTGAGCCCAGACCTCATATATTTGTGCTTCTCCTGAGAGAGGGGGCCAGGGAGGGAAGCTAGGCCTCTGTGTACTCTGTTTTCTTTTGAGGAGATCATTATGCCATGTCAGACTTTTGTATATTCTTAAATGAATAAATGAAAACAAGTGCCCTCTATGAGTTATTATTGGGGCTATATCAGCATCTTGTTGCTGATGTTTGGGGAGACCACCGCCCCAGCCGGGCTGCCTGCTAAGCCCTCTCCTGCTTTCCCTTTCAGCCCACATGGCCCTTTGTGGTATATTCGTTATCAATTGCTGTGTAATAAATTACTCCAAAACTTGGTGGCTGCAAACAACATTGTCTACAGTTTCTAAGGGTCAGTAGTCAAGGTACAGCCTAGCTGGGTCTACTTCAAGGTCTCATACAAGGCTGCAGTCAAGTTATCAGCTGGGCTGTCGTCATCCCAAGGATTAACCTGGGGAGGATTCACTTCCAAGGTCATACTTTTGACGGCTGGTGGAATTCACTTCTCACTGGCTTTGACCGGAGGCCACTCCCAGTTCCTTGCCACATGGGCCTTTTGGTAGAGTAGCTCACAGCATGGCAGCTGGCTGCATCAGAGAGAGTAAGCAAGAAGAACCAGAGTGCAAACAGAAATATCAGTTCGTTTCAGTTCAGTCGCTCAGTCGTGTCTGACTCTTTGCGACCCCATGAACTGCAGCACGCCAGGCTTCCCTGTCCATCACCAACTCCTGGAGCTTACTCAAACTCATGTCCATCGCGTTGGTAATGCCATCCAACCATCTCATCCTCTGTCGCCCCCTTCTCCTCCCACCTTCAATCTTTCCCAGCATCAGGGTCTTTTCCAATGAGTGGGTTCTTCGCATCAGATGATCAAAGTATTGGAGTTTCAGCTTCAGCATCACAGAAACCATAGTCTTCTATGATCTAATCTCAGCAGTGACAACCTATCAGTTTTGCCATATTCTTCTTTAGATGGAAGTCACTACGTCCAGCTCGTACTCGTGAGGATTACACAACACACAGTGAACACCAGGGGGCTGGGCTCACTGGAGCCCCCTTCACAGCTGCCTTCCTCCTGTGGGAAAGGCTACTCTCCTGCAGTAAAGGTCCTGGAATAGCTGAGCTCGAAAGCTCCATATGGATCACTCAACCATGCTCCTCGCTTCTGGCCTTAGGTATACCACAACTAAGGCCTGGCCTGCTGGCATCTAGTGATTTCATGCCACACCTGGATCTCACAAGATGCTGTCTCTCTGTTCTAATTCCATTCAGTTCAAAGAGTACCAAATACTTGGGAATCTTTCCCACTTGAGCTAAAGGAACTTCCCATTTTCCACTGCCTAACGCCTGTCCTGGGGCTTTCCAGATGGCTCTAATGAAGAACCTGCCTGTCAATGCAGGAGACGTGGCTTCGATCCCTGGGTCTGGAAGATCTCCTGGAGGAGGGACTGGCAGCCCACTCCAGTATTCTTGCCTGGAGAATCCCAGGGACAGAGGAGCCTGGCAGTTGATGGTCCATAGGGTCGCACAGAGTCTGACATGACTGAAGCAACTTAGAATGCACGCATGCAATGCCTGTCCCATTTACCTCAGGGACCATTTCTCTTTGTCAGAAGCTGTGAGCTTGGGAGCAGAAACAAACAGCTGGAAACAGCTGAGAATACTCAGAGTGGTCAGAGCTGTGACAGAGAGGCCCCTAGTCCAACACTGGTGGTCCTTGGTGAGCTGGGGCCCCAGCCTGAGCTGGGACTTAATGGGTGACTGGAAATTTGCCAGGAAGGGCAAAGTAGCAAAGTGCAGAGCAGAGAGGCTGCTAATCTGAACCACAGAGTGGTGAAGGTAGAGAGGTCTGCAAGGGGCTTCCCATGGAAGGGCAGGGAGCTTCTCCAGAGTTTTTCTGAGGGGAGGCGGGCAGGGCAGAGAGGAGGTGCCCTGGAGGGGACGACAGAGACTGGATTCTGTGGCTCCAGGCAGGTTTTAGGCCTCAGGACACTGAGCCTGGGTTAGAGAACAGACATTTCCTTTAGGATCGGGGAAAGGCCTGTTTTCTGATCTAGCCTAAGGCTAGCTATGACCCTCAGCATCTGACTTCAGACTAAGCTAGGCTACCCCTATAAACACAGCCCAGTATTCTCAGCATTAATTTTGTGAAGATTAAATACTTACTCTGCATCAAGAAACCCCACCACCTCTACTTAAGAACACGAGCAATAACGAGGCTTCAAATGTTGGAGGGGCCATCTTCACCTGGGGCAATGTATGGTCAGCCCTCCATATCCATGGATCCTGTATCTGCAGATATGTAGGGCCAACTGTACTACTGTATTTTTTATGAGGGATTTAAGCATCCTCAAATGTTGTTATTCATTTGGGGGAGGGATTGGAGTAGGGGTGGCAGATCCTATAATCAATCCCTTGCAAATAGCAAGGGTGTCTGTCTAGCAGTCACCTGTGCAGAGCAGAGGCTAGCCTCACTCTAAGCTGTGTGTGGGGTACTCTAGGTAAATGCTATGAACATTGTCTTGGGCTGGGAGTTGTTACCTTAAAAGAGAGAACTGGAATCTCCTTTTCCAGAAGACCCACTGCCTGTGGACGGCGGGAGTGGGGGTGTCGTCTCAGTTGTTGTTCAGTTGCTCAGTCGTGTCCAACTCTTTGCGACTTCATGGACTGCAGCACTCCAGGCTTCCCTGTCCTTCACCAGCTACTGGAGTTTTCTAAAACTCATGTCCATTAAGTCGGTGATGCCCTCTGCCTGAAGGTCAATTCCAAAGTTCTGCTTGTTGTTCCCAGATATGGCCACTAGGGGGCACTGAGGCTAGGCCTGAGGCAAATGCTGCCCAGCTTCCTTCCTTCTTTTTGAAGTTTGACACTTATCTAGCTCCAACCTGGGGCTAGAAGCCAGAGATAAGTAAAATCACAGACTCTTAAAAGCTCAAAGATAGCAATTTAGCATTCATCATGAGCAAGTCCTCCTAATCTGAGAAACTGGGACCAGAAAGGCCAACAGTCTTGCCCCTTCTCACTCAGCAAATCAACGCTTGAGAAATGCCTCCCAGCAGGAAATAAGCAGCTTCCACATTGAATGTCCCCTGTTCTTAGGTGCTTGTAATATAATAAGGGAGGCAGAGACATACGTGAAGCACTTATCTTTTACTTTTGGACTCTGTGGGAGAAGGCGAGGGTGGGATGTTTCAAGAGAACAGCATCAAAACATGTATATTATCTAGGGTGAAACAGATCACCAGCCCAGGTTGGATGCATGAGACAAGTGCTCGGACCTGGTGCACTGGGAAGACCCAGAGGGATCAGGTGAAGAGGGAGGTGGGAGGAGGGATCGGGATGGGGAATACATGTATATCCATGGCTGATTCATGTCAATGTATGACAAAAACCACTACAATATTGTAAAGTAATTAGCCTCCAACTAATAAAAAAAATAATAATAAAATAAAAGGATAGTACAAGGGGGGGGAAAAAAAGAAGTATTTACAGAAAAGAGTATAAAAGTTTTTCTAAATTCAATGTAAGCAAGCTTCCAGTATTGACTTCAGAAATATTTGATTTACAGTTTGGCTCCTTCACATATTAGCCTTTTTCATTTCAAAATTTGTCAATTTACCTTCAAAACAGATCGTTTTTTAAACTGTAAAAGTTATTCAATGTATGCAGAAATAAAAAATATTTTGAAATTCAAAAAAAAAACCTTTGCCTCCTTTTATATTCCCTGTCTAGGTTCTACATGTCAGTACTGCCCACTGTCAGCAGAAACAGCCTCTGGACCTAGTGAGCTCTCCTCTCCCTTCCCTGCCCCATTCCAATCCTGCCTGATGATGCTGAAGGCCACATTTTTGTCTCAAACCATCCCCTTTTCTCCTCCTTAATAACATACATGAGAGCAGGACCCACCCTGTGACATTGCCCTTACCAGCTGCATTATCATGTCACTTAACCTTTCTGAACCTCAGTTTCCTCATCTGTAAATGGAAATAATCTATATTACTGAATAAGTGAGATAATATGTATCTAAATATATGATACATAAATAAAAAGTATTCATCCTTCTCCCTCAACAGGAAATAATAGCTGTAATTGTCTTCATCATCACACCCTTA